GGGAAAGAGCTTAATTTTACCTAACATTAACAAATACTGTATTTTTGCATTGCTTTTTCTTCCTCTTCTTCTTCTTCTCCTTTCTTTTCCTCTTCTTCCTCTCCATCTTTTCTGGAGAAATGATAAAAAAAAAAAAATACTGTTATCCCTCAGACGTCTGACGCAGTAGCAGTAAATATGTAGTCCAGGTTTCTCACTTGTATTTTCCACTCTTCTACACATAGACTCAGTATGACTCTCGCACGCCACCTCGTGGCGGACAGTCACACTGCAGCGGTTTCAATGTAAAGTGGAAACAAGAATTGTGTACTGTGTGTTTTCTGTATTCTAATCTTCTCTACTGTTTTATATTTCAACTCATGTTTTGCCGCCGTGTGTGTGTGTGTGTGTCAGTGTGTTTATGTGATTGTGTGATTGTGTGTGTTTGTGGTAAAGTGTGGATCTCGGCTTCAGCTGCCGTATTTCAAATCCAATGTTGTCTTTAACATGTAGTAAAATGATGTCATGTCTTTTTATATTCTTTCAATTTGTAATTCAATTTATGCGCAAAATGGCAACTTGTGTTGTGTGTGTGAGCGTGTGTGTGTGTTTGGTATTAATTAGGTAGGGATTGAAATCATTAACTTTTTTTCAATTAATGCTTAGACTGATAGTGATAATAGACTCGACTGAATTGATGTCAGCTCTTCTTCTTCTCTTCACTCTTCACAAGCACTAGAATCAAATGATGTCAGCTCTTCTTCTTCTCTTCACTTAAGCACTAGAATCAAACATAGTTTCTTGATTCCCATCCCTGCCAGCCAAGACTGTGTGTGCGTGTGCGTGTGTGTGTGTGTGTATGTGTAAATGTATTTCAGGCTGCTTGTCTGAGCCCTTTTGTGTAGTTTGGGGGAGGGAGTGGGTGTGGCATCTGCTGAGAGATGTGTGGTGAAGCCGCCTCTGTTCCTCCACAGGTTCCACCCACATGCTCACTCCCACCAAATTCTTATCGGACCTGCAGCACCCCGACTTCCGAGAGTCCACTAGGGTGTCCTTTGAGGACGCAGATCCCTCGGAGTGAGGCAGAGAGAGTTTGGGAGGGAGGGAGAGAGAAATCACACTGAAAAAAGTAAAAGCAGCCGCGCGGCGAAGCCCTTCGTACCTCCACAGCTAACAGGGCTTCCTCTTTCTGTTTCTTTGACACTCAGTACTGTGTTTCTGTAACTCCACCCTCCTGCTCCTCCCATGTCCTTCAGTGATGGGACCTCTGACCTCCCCTCAGTGCGTGGACCACTCCACTAGGTTCTACTTCCTGTTTACTATTGTTTTTTTTTTACTATCATTTCTCATCGCAGTGTTTTTATTCTTTACTACAGTACATACAGTAGTATTTGTACATATAGCTTTACTACGCTAATGATTGACACATTATTGTAATACCACATGATTACGTTACTGCACTTCTTATTATTGTAATCGTTTTTAATTCTACATTCTGGACTTCACTACATGGTGACACTCATACATACTTATGTCACCGTTCATTCCTTTCATACTCTACATTACAATTACACTGCTCACTTACTTTATATGTGTAGCCAAGTCAGACGCTGTTCGTTGTCCGCTGTTCTACGTCTGTTGGTGTAGGTTTTAACATTGGACATTGTGAAACTCGTTCCTGTGGAGTGATCCATGCCTAAGGGAAGTTCTGACCCCATCCCTGCTGCCCCCTCCCTTCATCTCCTCTGGGTGGATTAACTCACCCCTTGACTGCCACCCAAAGGCCCGTTATACCTGCAGAATTGACTCCAGATTTAATCCCCCTTTCAGCGCCATCTGTGTTTTATTTCTAACGTCCTGATTATTCCTTTTTTTTCCCCCCCAAAGACAACCATCTTATTTCCAAATGTTATATTGAAAACAGGTCCTTTATTTGATGCTGAAAATCAAAAAAGGGATTTTCTGTCATCTCCCCCCGACTCCACCCTCATGATCCACTGCCTCTGCTCACTGTAGTCACACATGCTGATGTAGGTCATGGCTCATCCACACAGGCTGCGGATGTCAAAAAGTAGCCATGATAACACTGTGTAAAAGTGCTGTTGGTCTGAGCATCACTTCACTCGATGTGCTTTGACAATAAGGAAACCAAACGCGTGAATTAACACCCTGAAAATGATTTTTTTTTTTTCACAAGTCGTTTGCTGACGTTTGAAATAGAGGAATGAGCGTGAATAAATCGGGAAATTAGACCAAAGTAATCTGGAAGAAGACTAGATTAAAAAGCAGCATGATGTTTCAAAGAAATCTGCACAAAAACCAACCAAACCTGGTCAGGGTTAGCCTTTAGCTGTTGAGCTAGCTAGCAAACAGAAAAACAACAAGGTGACAATTTGTCTTCCTCTTGTCTTGTTTAGGGAGAATCTAAGCTCAGATATTCTTATGCTGCCCTCTGCAGGGTGAAATGGGAGCTATTTAAAAAAATGCTGCAAACGTGCATGGTCTGTGACAGAGTGACAGCCATCCTGCAAATATTCACCACAGGATTTTGACCTCGTTCATGGATCCATTTCGTTTTTGCCAAATCTGCGAAAGGGATACTCTTTTCCGATTAACAATTTCCTGTCCTTGTGGTTTCCTTAATATACCCCATCTTCAGTAGAATCACTTCTCCACATGCCGCCACATCCCTGAGTAGAATGGCCGTCATGTAGTCAAAAAAGTGTTTGTTTTTGCGCAGCTGTTTTGGTCTAAACCATGTCCAGTGAGTCAGTGCAGTTGGAGATGTGTCTGTGTTTCAGTGTTGTGTTTCTACGAAGCTGTATGTTTTAATATAAGCGATGGGCGTAACAGTAGAGAAGGAGTTGGGGGCCAGTCCAACACTGACCCAAACCCTCACCACCATCCTAAAACCCACGGACCCTCACATCAACATACCAACCACACTGGAGATGGCCCTGCCTCTTTCTCTTCTGTTTCAACCCTTAAAAGTATCTGTTGTACCAGTGGTTCTCAAAGTGGGGGGCGCAGACCTGTTGCAGGGGCGCAGCATGTCACATTGATTTTATTTGTTCAGTGTTCTTCTTCGTGACACAATGGGTAGCTTTGTAGCCATAGCTCTGAATGTGCCGACATGGAGGGTGAGGGGTGGTCAACACTATTCCCATCCAGAAGAGGGGGCTCTGCAGACAACATTTGGGAACCACTGCGTTAATCTGTTTATTGGAGGTGAAACATGCAGCTTTGCAACAGAAACAAACTCAGAGGCAAACCAAATACTGTTGATGTTGAAAATGTGTAAGGAGTAAATCAGACAGTCCTTTTTTCATCATACCACTTGGACCCTCAGTGATGATTAGAACCAGAACCATTAAAAAGAGCAGATGAACTCTGGCTGAGGGACAAGAGCCAACGTTTGTAGAACATAGATCTAAAGAATACAGATGTCACTCGAAATCCACGGTTAGAGAAGTGTCTTCAACAGAAGTACTTGAACCAGACTAGTGTCCATG